ATACATTATTTCTATATTATATATATATATATTACTCTCGAATATAAATCGCCTTTCTAGTGCACACCGGACACCTTCTTCTTGGCATTAATTCGCCGGTGGTGACGGTTGGATTCATTTTAACCACAGATCGAAATCGTTTAAAAAACAACCCTTTAAATTTATTCTATAAGGGTCTTAATTAACTTCTTCACGCTCACGCCCGTGTATGTCACGGGCACGCTAAATCAACAAAGAACAGTTATAAATCGTATAAACTTTAAGAAATTCGAAACTATGTTTCATTTTTTATGTTTACACAAGAGCTTCTACCGCGAGGAGTTCGAACGATACACAGCGGTCGTTTTCCATACAAAAAGCGGAAAGAGCATACATCAACTAAAATTATATATTTTTTTTATATTTAATTATATATTTAAGCCTTACTTTTTCATTTTATATTACTAATTCATATACTTGGGGTTTTTGTTGGGGTAAAATAATGAAAACAAAATGCAGTGTTTTAATTGTCTCTAAACAAAATTTTTAAAAAATACAATTTTTGTTTCCGATGTAATTCAATGAAATTAAACGCCCTCTCTATTTTCGTGTTGCGAATTCGATTTCTTGATCGTTTTTTTCCTCATACTTGACATGCACGGGTCAGACGTGAGCAAAAGTCTGCTTATAATGCAAAAAAAGAAAATAATTTATAATTATTTTCATTGGTTTCAATAGAATTGTTGAAATATTGATACTTTACTTAACCTATTCAAAACATCTCGCGTAACTCAGTAATCCATAGGTATAGGCCTTAATGCCATTTTGGCATTATTATTAGATGATTTCTCCGATAGCAGCTAATAGCAGCTAATTTTTATTAAGGCATTTCTCTTCAAAATGTGAACAATTAAAGCGAACACGGAACTCCACCGAACTCATAATTAAAAAATGAAATGAAAATTCAACATATTCAATTGGACATATCTCGGAAAATGTGAGAGATAGAAAAGTGTCCTGAGACATAATTCTGTAAAAATTAATAAATTGATGTCAAAATTATTTATTTTTAAAGAACAAAATAATTACAAACGATCATATAAATTTAGTATTATTTGGAGATAGGTTACTTTGAAGCCACGTAGCCGTGTCCAAAATGAACAAATGGTAAAAAAGATCATAGTAAATAATAAGCCATATGTTTAATTGACTACTAGTGAATAAATTATGTACTATGGGGGTATTTTTTTAAACTGACTTTTTTCTGCTTTTTCTATGGAAACCGACCACTGTGCCTACCTTTTTTTTCATTTCTAGCGAAATTTGATTTAAATTTTCTCCTTTTGCCCTTCTGCATATTTTCAGTTTTAATGTTTTTTTACTAATGTTTACTATGTTTGGATGTTTTATACTATCGAAACCACTTCAACAAAGAATTTACAATACAAAACACAAACGCATGTAGATACAACGACTGTCTGTAATCGATTAACATTAGCGTCTTGTAATTTTGTCCGATCGAAATTCTATTATTTTCGAATAAACAAGAAATTTGTTATTATTTTTCGCAAAATTCATGAAGATGTTATTAAAAAATAAAGAATTTTTATCCGATGACATGTATTTTCATATAACTATAATATTAAATTATATTTTATTATATTATTAAATTGTATTAATTATTAAGTCGCATAAAAAAATTGATATATATTGATCCCAAAGAAGTGGAATCGAAGATATGCATATATGGAAAAGGGGATTGATACTATAATAATATACTGCTATAATAATATTTTGTCAATATCGTCTTTTAATAAGCTTCAAAAATATGATATTCACAGACACACAGTAGCGTAGGTTGGAAAGGGAAAATTTTATATCTAATTTTGAATACTCACAGCTGTCACTTTCTCGTAATGGAGACCGTCAGGTTGCGAGGTATTTTTTGTGACAATCCACATTGGCAAGTTCGCTGCCAACAACCCCTCCGTCAGTTTCAGCGACAGCCCGATGTCTTTTCCGAAGGCTTTCAGGTGTATCTCTGGCTTCTCCATATTTCTTTTGTGTACTGAATGTAACACAGGCACAACTTCGTATGCTGGTACTGGAAGATGAAGCGTAACATACCTCGTGGATAAAACTATCATCATCAATAAAATGATCGGCTTCATATATAGGGTGTCCCAAAATTATGGTACTTCTGGGAAATGTAGGGTTCCTCAGGTCATTTGAAGTAACTTTTTCCTGATCGAAAATGCAATCCGCGGCTTTGTTTGCGAGTTATTAATGAAAAACACTGACCAATGAGAAGTGAGCTTGGTCGGCGCGAGGAGGCCGAGCCAATGATCGGAACTGGGCTTCGATCGTTCGTTGGCTCGGCCGCTTTGCGCCAGCTGATCTCATCTTTTATTGGTCACTGTTTTTCGTTAATAATTCGCAAACGAAGCATTTTCGCTAAGAAAAAAAAGGAACCCCTCATATCTTGGAAGTATCATAATTTTGGAACACCGTGTATATTTATATCATAATTATCGAAATGATAAAGATCTTTCCATCGAGAAACGAATGAATTTCTTTATTCGAGCACATGTGTTAGAACTTCGATCTCACATTGGATTGCAATGAATTCAATGATGCTTAATATGTTCAGTGTTAACAAGAATTGAGGAATTACGATCATAGTTCTCATCATCATGTGATAAAATATTAACAGACAAATTAACATCTATTTGGTTTATTAGATCAATCGTCATTCTGCGATAGATGAACAAAAATATTATTGTAACGAATAAATTTTATTTCGATGTCAATGTTGTACTATGAAATGGAGCAATCGCGAGATGCTACAAACTATTTTTGCTCGCAGCAAGTACCAGATTCGTGTCCCGTGTGAAACACCAACAACATCTCTTCCCTCGTCATGTGTTCGTGGATCTGCAACAAACGAGAAAATCGCGGTAAGCTTTCATATTTCAGAATGAGATATAATTTATTTAGTAATCACGAAGAGCTTAACAATGCTTTCAGAGATATCAAGACCTAACTCGAGTATCTCACATATTCCATTTACTATTGACAATGAACAGA